TATATATATATATATTTATAATTAAATAATAATTATTTTAAATTAAAGAACAGCTATAATGAAATTATTAAAAAAAGTATTGTTTCAATAAATTGCTTATAGTTTTTAGAAGCAAATATGACAATTATACACCATTTTACCAAAAAAAAAGTATAACTAAAATACAAATGTGTCTTCACTAATTACAAAAAAAAAATTAATCACAGCACAAAAATAAAATAAAAAATTACAAAACACAATTGAAATAATTCTCTTGGCCTCTTGCATTTCTTTGAAGTTGAAACATTTTAGCAATATTATTTTTTAGTCTTTTCTTCGAGTCTTCTCATATTTTCATGTAAGTTTGAACTCTAGCATACACAAGACGAGCAAAATCTTCAACATCCTGATTCATTATTTTAAAACAAATAAATATGATAACTTTTGGGAAAGATAATTAAAAGAAGGTTCAATTCAGTTAAACTTGTTGCCGGTCCAATCTTGGGGCAGGCTCTTGAAATGATCCAATCAATCAAACAACTATATTTGTCGTTGTTAGGATTGAAACATTCAATTAAACTTATGATAAAACATAAATGAAAAATTAAATTTGGATATGTGTTATGGATGAGTTCAACCATAATAATTTTATTTGAATAATTTCAATAGGTAACATGAGTATCAATGTGCATAAACCAACGTTAGAAATAAGCTACCAACAATACAATCAAAAAATAACAACCTCAAATCCAAGCAAAATGGATGACAAGTGAATGTATGAGAAATTAACACTAAAATTAGCAATCAATTAATCAACCAGTCATTTAAATTTTTTGTTAGAGCCACCAGCAACCAAACTGCCCAAATATAAAAAGGCAACTCCAAGCCCAAGGAAACTGAATGAAAAATAAGGCATTAACACCAAAAGTTTTCAATCAACTAGTCCAAAAGTCATTATTTTTTTAGAGTCGCCAACAACCCAATAAAGAAAGGAAAACTCTAAAACCAATCATTAGTAATAACAGGCATAAAATCTTCATAAATCGTAAGATTATGATGTATAGTGTCACTCTATCACTCTATCAACACTAATATAATAAAAGATGCTATAAAAAATGTATATATCATTACCCATATCAGTTACTCTTATAAATCATTGTAATAGTTCTTATAAAATGACAATAATCTGAATATTGTCAAATGCAAAGCAAAATAATCTGAACATTGAAAGTAATGACTAAGAGCTATGTAATGAATAAATTTTCATCTCGACAAATTTTTAAGTAATGACTATTAGCAAAATAATGTGGATATCGTGAAGACACACCAAAGTTTCATAATGTAAGACCAACAACTCAAATTTAATTACTGTCAAGAAGGAAAATAAATTTTATGTGTAACATTTTAAGCTGCTTCAGGGCACCAACTGCACCAAAAGCTTATGTGAAATATTAGATGTTGGATATGTATATATAAAGACTTTGTGTGGTATACGTGCAAATTTCCCTAAAATTAGTCTTTAAGAGTGACAACAATATCGAATATAAAATACAAAAAAAAACAATTGAATTGACTGTAAGATTTCCTTCATAAAAAATAAAAATCAGTCTGTCATAATTTTCGTATAATAAATATGGTTTTAAAGGGAAAAGATCACTCTTTCACTCCCTCATTCTTCTCATTTTTCCTTTTTCTACCAATATTACATTACAGTCAACTTTACAAAAGAAAAATGCAAATCATTTATGCATCCTTAAACATAGACCTTTACAAACATGGAATAAAATAAATAATTAAAATTAAGGAAAAAGTTTAGAAACTTAAAGTTAAACCTATAATAGATGAATTTTCGTCAAATAAGATTGATAAATCAAACCTATGCATGAAAATTGTGGTATTTTTTTAGATGTTCCAAACTTAAATTGTATAACATGTAGTTGACCTATGAAATATGCAACAAACAAAAAAGAAATTTATTACAACAAAATCAATATTTTGACATCATTGGCCGAATCACATAGCCAATTAAATCACAAATTACAACAATATAATGTTCTATTTTGAAATACCTAGAAATGAAATCATTATTCGTACTTTGCACTCAATCACAATAATGTTTTTTTAAATAACCTCTAATATATTTAATCATACAATTTCATATCTAAAATATCTTTCTTTGGAATCTCTTACTGATAAAAATATTTATCAAAATTAGTGATAAAAAAAGATAAATATATCCTAAAAGATTTAATAAAAGGAGTATTACTAAGAGAGTTTTCATATTTTTGATAGAAAATCACATCCAACTAGATGTATAAATAAGTGTATTTAATGTCTTGTTGACAAAGAACCCTTATAATCATCTGAACACTAAATACATATTCTGATACAATTTTAGTTATAGAAAATATCAAAATATCTTAGGTCCTTTTAGACAAACATAAATACTTAAGAGTATTCAATTTCCACAAATCAACAACATCAAACTGGTCACTATTGATCATAAACAAATTCCCCTAAGGATAAATTCATAAATCAGACTTTGATGGTTGAATAGAGCTCGGTGACAACAAAATTATTAAAGACAAGCATACAATCAAATTTATGTGAAAAAGTTAATTGATTAGACAAGTGTGAAGATCCATTACCACTCATTGAAATAGAATTGACAATATCAGATATATATTGATTGTATATTTCTCAAATAACAACTTAAACTTCTTAAATTTTATATTCTAGTTCAATTGATGAGTAAATATTCAAAAAAATAAAATGAATGAACTTTATATTTAAACGAGGATCCAACATAGCTGTCATAGACATGAGTAGATTTCATCGCTCGCAATATTTATCAAACTGTATCTTCACAGCAGAAGCCATGTTTTTAATTTACTTATTTGATAAAATAGATTCATGCATTAACAATTTTTTAATATGCATAAAAATTGGGCAAAAATAATTTTTATTGTAGTGATAAAAATAAGAACAATTTTTTTCTTATTTTCTCATACTTCTCCCCATCCAAATTTGATGACAGTCATGTATAATTGCTATCTCGAGCAACATAATGATTGAACACATTTCGATAGACAATAACATATTCAAACATTAAGTATATTGAATTCCACCATGTTGCAACATCAATGAACAAACCTTTTGTAGTTAAAATGCTTAATTGCTTGGATACTCCAACAGGTTTGTGTAAACTTATTGGTGACATCTTGAAATATTTAATGTAATCTCTAATTAGATAAATTATATCGTGGATATGTTTCAAACCAAACTAAATCATAATATTTAAGATGTGTGCACAATATCTTGTATGAAAAAAATGTCATAAAAAATGCAACTTACTTCTTGACTGAAAATTAGATTTAAGTAAACTAACTGCAACATCGTTATTGCTAGCATTATCCAAAGTAATAGTTAACACTTTATATTGAAGATGTAAAACTACAAGACAATCATAAATAATATCATAAATATATGTATCAGTGTGAGGCGACTTTAACTAAATAAAATTTACAATTCTCTTTTGTGGCTTGCAATCTTGATTAAGATAGTGAACAATTAGATAAATATATCTTATCATCTAATTAAAATTCAAACAATCATAAATTACTTAAAATCTATATACATCCTTGAGATAAGTGTTCAACTTATCATTCTTGAATTCATATACCTTCATACAATCGTTTTAATGATGTTTCTCAAAATACTCTCATATTTTAGATTTGATGATTTCAATAACACATTAAACCACAAATGCACAACAATAACAAATGGATGTTGTGCAATAATCATCTTTACAATTATTTATCTGATTTTATGTTGATCGTAATTTTTTGAATCATGAAATATTGGAATCTCAATCTCTATGTCAGTATCGAATGACATGAAATTTTTAGTGTTTTTTTACCTCTTATAAAAAAGGCAATTATTTTCTTAATCTTAGCTTTATTTTTTTTTCATTCCATCACATATCTCAGAAGTTGGGAAGTGATGTCGGTGTCAACTATTTTACATATTAAACCTTATGTGACAACATAATGTCAAAAAGGAGTTGATGCTTTTTTTATTATAAATGATGCATTAACAAAATACTTTATTACTATAGACTTTATTTTCCTCGCCCTCTTAAAAGTATTAGGGTCTTCTTTATTGCTACTTTTAATAATAATTATCTTCGGCTTCGTGTGTTGTGATCCAAATTTTGGAATTTTGTTATTATTTTTAACTTCCACTATGCACAATTGAATGATAATTCAGTTAGAGAAAGATTCAATATATACATAATATAAAGAGATATAAACCTTAAAAGATGAATCAATATGCAACTTATAATTGAAGATTCATGATCAAATAATAAATATATTTAGACAGTAATAAATAACACAATATTGTTTTGCTTATTATAGG